ACTGAAACAACGTAGGACAGTCAATTCTGAGTGTTATACAACCATTTGTTTGCCAGTTGCCTTCCAAAAAATTAGGAAAACCAACTGCCGAAGACAGATCACTCCTCATCACGACAATGCGAGCTTCCACACATCGGCTCAAACAACTGCATTTTTGAGCACTCAAAACAACGATTTGACGACCCGTCAGCCATATAGTCCCCGTGTGACTTCTTCTTATCCCATACGTAAAAAATAAAATGGGAGGTCAACGTTTTTCGACACCTGAAGAAGCCGTCGATGCGTTCAAAATGCATGTTTTAGAGTTACCTCAATCAGAATGGCAAAAGTGCTTCTACAATTGATTTGAACGCATGCAAAAGTGTACAGATCTTGATGTGAAAAATTTTGAAAAGCAGTAAAGCGATTCTCAATGTTTAATATTTATTTCTGTTCCCTAACCCGAAATATAAAAGGCAACCTACGTATTGCCTCTCGAGATGCAGTAACTGTTATGTCAGGACTACGAAGGGAAGTCGTTTTGATCTCGTAATTGACGAAGCTACGACGTGCTTTGCAAATGTTCTCCAGGTCACGGCAATGTTCTCTAGGACTTTGCTCTTCACCTTTTCAAATTTCAGATTTCGTTTATCACTTCCCTGCATAGCTTCTCGCGTACTGATGTCAGCTGGTAACTGAATATAGCTCGCGCAATTCCACAGTGACGTATAGCTCGAGAGTCGTGTCTTCGGGAAGAGAGTCTTTCCCTCTTCCTGTCGTTTCGTTGTTTTGTGCTGCAGTACATGGTATGTTCACATGCGTTTGACATGTAGTAAAGCAAGTGAGTGAGAGAGACGTTTCTTGGTAACTTGTAGACTGTCTACATTTTTGATGTTGTTAAAGTGTTTATAGTGTCCAGAGTGTCCGTGTGAGAGGCGAAGAGATTTCGGGTTGCCGCGAACCATAGATTTAGGACCATGAGAGCATTCCCTCTATACGACACGTCTCTTACGTCATACCTACAGCGCAAGAACAATTTCTTCCAGTGCCGCTCTTCATGAGCTCCTCGCGGGGTAGTTACATAAAGCATGTTGAGGATTTTTTGCAGTCTGTTCTTGGAGATCATTCTGACCTGCACATCGCGATTGTTGGATGAATGTGTTTAACAGACTGGATTTCGGAAGTGGTCCAGCTGATTAGACCACATCCAAGCAGTCGCAACGGTCATCGAAGTGTGCCGAAATCCTAAATGCTCACCTACAACAACTATGGAAAAACTTTTGACAATATTGAAACGAGTCCGGTCTGTCACCACTGGTCGATCAACGAGTGAAGTCTCCATATAGTATAAAAAGGTTAGGCGACCGTAGAAAACCTTGCAATGCGACGATGCAGTTATTCCAACGACAACTCGCTATTCCCGTTGAGAGGGATATGAGACAAGGCGAAGCTTAGCTTATTCTGCCAAAGCTGTTCACATTCGTGCTGCACTGGGTTATGAAGTCATTAGAATGGATAAGAGGGGCGTTCGGGTGGGTGTACAGTTCTTCTCAAAGCTCCTTTTGGCACGAGCCATTGTTTTCTGTTCAAGCAGCACTGCGGAAGCTGAGACTATGCTTACAGAATCCAATGAAGCAGAAAAAGGTAATGCTGCGGATCAACCAAACAAAGACGGTTTGCGAAGAGTGTTCGAATTAGCAAATTCTAAATCAAGATTGATGGTACACCTTCGAGCAGACCTCGTCTTATGCCTATTTCGGGTCTTCCAGTAATAAGGGTAACGACACGAAAGAAGAACTGGTAGAACGCCCTCGGACCACTCAAAGATGACACCAATCATCTGTCTGATCCGGAAATTCGCGCTAATCTATTTGATTCCACAGTTGTCCCTGCGCTCTAGAACACGTAGTAGATATAGGTGACTAGTCCATCCATTTCAAAAACTTCGAGTGTACATCACAAAGCATTTGAGCAATGCTCGAGTCACTGTAGGATTGTCGAGGTCTGAGGAAAGGCCTGCAGCAAAATTAGGAGATACGTTCCCCGATGACGTATAGAGATACGCTCCTCGGTGATGTAAAGCGCTGCGAATTCAGCAGAACGATTCTTCACATCAACATCGTCGGATTTTGATTCAACCGTGGATGGCGATAAGTACACGAACATATGGTCCGTTGCTGGTACTCGCACATGAATGAATACGAGCCGCATGAGTATGGGTGAGCAAGTATTGTGATGATGCTCGACAAATCGCTTATACTTCTCGTTGATGTTTTCAGTGAAGAAGTTTTCCCAGAAATTCGCAAGGAAGCGAAGCTTTCCCATCTGGTGGCGGCCTAGGCTTCGTTCCCTAAACGCAGCTTTCTTTCCGCTAAAAAAACAGAATTTAGGAGAAGGTATTACGACACCGTGCAGAAATTCGGCACAACATAACCGTTAATCAGCCAAAGCATTTGATTGAGGATGATGTGACTCAATATATTATGAGGTTTCCACCAGGTGACCCACACGTCTATCGAAAATGAGAGGGTTCTAGAACTGGGAATTACACATGGTGGGGGTCAACAAGATAAACTCGGGCTTTCTCTCATTCTGCTCATTTCCTGCAGTTCCCTGACTATTGATACGTACAGGGTGTCCCAAAATTATGGCATTCCAATTCATTTCAATGTATTTAAAGCTTGTAGGCTAAGAATGACAATGGAAACTACATGCACGATTGCTAACATTATGTGCTACAACATGCTACGATCACATTTCAAAACATCATCCATGAGCGCAGATAGAGGTGCAAACCTGGCAGGTCCCCTCGGATGGCTGTTCTTCTTTGCTTATGGAGTCGAGCAGGTAGCGTCGGCACCACTCAAGGGCATGCTTGGCTCTGTGGACTTTAGTACCGTCCTGCTGGAAGGGCTCCGAGCTATTTCAGAAAGCGAGAAGGGATCAGTATTCTATTACGTCCATCAATATACCCTTTGAGCACAGGTACTTGCCAATTTGCACGCCGGCACCGGCGAAACCACGAGCGTCTAACCATTGCTAGTGGCTCCCTTAAAAGGCATTTCATTTCAGTCATCTTGCTGCTCTTATAGCAGCTTTTTCATGAAAGATTCTACGTTCGATGCCCTTAGCCAGAATGTGATCGTTTTATTTGTTGAAGAATGGTTTTGCCGTAAAAACGTTTCAGCCATAATAAACGATTAAATGTTGCGTGTCTCCACGCAGGCGAGTTAGCAACTTTCCGCAGTCCTTGGCACTATACTGTCTGTTGAGATTGGAACTGAAGCGACAATTTTGCATAGGATGGAACGGCAATTTGGGTCTCGCTATACAATCTGCCCCACCGATAACTTCAATGGTCCCGCTTTTTTGATCTTCCTAAAGTCGATCGTGATCGCTTTCGATCACGATCGACTCTTAACGGACCATTTTAGCGGTCCTATCATCAAAAACGCTTGCCTTTCAACCCCCCCCCCCTGGCTTGTCTTTGATTGTATCTTCTTCTCTGTATCGTTTGATACCCTTCCTTACGGACATTATTAGGAATCACAAGGGATATCGTAATGCCCTCACATGCCAGTAATTGCAAGTGGCATTGAATGAGCCTTCCTCACCCTTAAGGTGTTCGGGGCTTCAATTCAGTCACCACGCATATTGCAAAGGGACCTACTTGTGTAACTGATTAATAGCGAGCAAAAAGAATCTTCNAAAAGATTTTCATCCTAGTTACTTAGGTTTCTGAATTTAGGCGACCATAATTTAGGTACATTCTTCAGTTCTCAGCTGTTATTTTAGGGTCAATCTTGGCGTTGAAACCACCGACGACGCCCCGGATAAAGGTGTGGGGACCTATTTTAAGATCCCTCCAGATCCACATAAAAGATTCGGGATCCTTTTCTTTGTGGCTTGATTTTGGTGCGTAAGCAACGACGAATGATAGAGCTGGGTTGGGCTGCATTTTCTTGAATGTTAACGGCTGATTCTAATTGTCAATGTTCTAGTCAATACGCAATTGGCAATGAATCGATGATCATGGTCAATAGCGTATTGGCGAGGGCACCTACCCGGCCGTCGCCGCTCCTACAGCATGTTCCAAGGAAGCATTCATCTCGAAAATCGCGTGCAGCGAGTGGTGACTTCTCGCCTCGATCAGCACGATTACGATGTACTTCCTAGCTGCAGCAATTTGGCAGCCCCTCTTAAGCGATCCTTCCCAACGCTGCTACATTGAGAGCTCTCTCAGGTTTAGGGGGTCGGTACGCACCCCACGAGTAGCTTGACAGGGTTAGGGCGGGGGCCGGGTGGACCTCGGGTACTAGCTAGTCTCTTCGGTTGTGAACAAAGGGCTCTGATTTTGAATTCGCCCCGAAACGCCTCCTGGATTATTTCCCAGAAACTCCATGCAAGCTCTCGGATGAGGCCATGCGCAAGATANCGGCAGACCCTCCACATATGTACGTGTGCATGGCTACACCTGTGAGGGTACAGAAGGTATGAATTGATCGAGCATACTCCGCTATCCTCCACCTATTGCGCCCTCTTGCCTCGTCGCCGGGCGGCTAAAGATCCTTTAAGGAGAGAACTCTCAACGAGAAAAATCCGTTGACTCCGCCGACATGAAATGGTAATATTTACGTTGACATGGAATGATAATATCTATACATGGTGAGAGCAGGATATGTAGCCAAGTGGCTTGAAGGGTTTGCCCATGAATGCGGTAAGGTGTCTGTAGGGAAGTTGGGTTGTTCCATGGTGAGGCAAACACTACGTTCCGTTACCAAGGTCTCGCCCGGGTAGACTTTATGAAAGAGAACCTAAGTCAGAGCAAAGGCCTGGATCCTCAAAAGTTGGCATGATGAATGTGTGATTACACTCGGAGGTGGCTCGTAGATCTTTTTCTCGAGGTTTGCGGACAGTATGCGAAGAGTGAACGACCTTGGTCAAATGAGTTAATTTGAATATTGATTCTGATCTCAGCAAGAAATTACGAGAGGTTGCCGATTTGCTGAGGCGCGGCATTATGTGGAAGGTATACCTTAGGAAAACTTGCAGGAGAGGAGCATAGGCTAGAGAAATGAGAGAGGATATCAAACTCTTTTTTGAAGAAAAANAAAAACACCAAGCGAAATAGTGTTGCCATAGCAGTTGTGAGGACCCTTCAGAATTGTCTCTCATCGAGGTCAGCTCGTACCATGGCTGAGAGGGAAAGCAGAAGAAGGGCCACTGGGCAATTCTGTTCTGTAGAAAACGCAAGCGGGCTGCAGCGAGTGAGAAAGGGTGAGTTATATCCGAGTTTAGGCGATACCTTATGATCAGTTCTGGTGAAGGAATATCTGACCTCAGTGGATGATCTGAACTATTACGTTACCAGAGAACCGAGGAACCTGGAAAGGCAGGCGGAGTACTAGGAGCCAGAAACGAGAAAAAGGAAGAGATCTCATCCTGGCTGGTCCACGACTCACCACTCTGCAGTACCTCCTCCGCGAATGGGGAGAAGATGAAGTTTGGGAACGTGAGCGGTCCCAATGGGGTTTCAATTGAGGCCGCATGGAAGGCGCTTGGACAGGGCAAGATTGAATAGTTGAACACGTGAACACACTGAAGAAATAATCACAAGTTAGTGAAGAAGGAGATCTATTATTTTCATATGTAGTGAGGAGGAAGGGGATGCAATGGAGTGTTCCCACAACCATGAAATCAGGTTGGCTCAAATCAATCACGCGCATGATAGAGCTGGTTCACTGAAAAAAATTGGAGTTTTATGAATGAAAGTGTAACCTCCATTAGACGATATCTATCCTGTTCGAATTGTTCGACATCAGTATTAATCGACCCGTTGAGTGCTTTCATTATCCGTACCATTTCGAGGTTGGTACGCAATGGTAAGTCCGCTCCTGAGAGGTACTGAAACAAGGATCGTTTTTTTCCTGAAAAAACTAATATTAAATGAAAGTACTGGTGGTAAACACTGTTTCCCATTTCGTTTAACACGGAGAATCCTAATTAATTGTTTTATATTCAGGTTCGTGAAAAATCGAATCGAGACTGAGTTACAACCGCAGAAGCACAATAGCAGTGTAAGGGTTAAGCATAGTTTGTAGAGGTCAGAGATGGAGAAGGATGATTTATGCTACAGTATGATGCTAATGTTGCAACTTCCAGGTCACGGAGATAGGAGTCGAATGGAAGATGGTGGAGCGGTGACGCTGATTCAACATGGTGCTCTTCGTCCAGCTGACCTCGGGCTCAGAGACCGAACCATATCCGAAACGTCGTTTGTTCTCCTCATAATAGCTTCTGTAGTATTCGATTGTCCTGTATCTGTCTATTAGACAATAAATCTGACTTCGCTAGTTGTGTGCAGTTGTAACTGTGATCGTGCCGGAAAATAGCTAGCATTAACTGCAGTAAGATCAGCCCTCAGAAGGGAGCTATTGTATGTTGAAGAAATCTGCAACATCAGTGGAACCTTCCAAAACGAGTTTCACTTCACTGATGCGTCGCTTTATTCTAATCCATTGGAATTTTTATTTTACTATGACTCATCTAAAATAGGTCTCCATTTCAACCTGGTTTCACTAAAAAAAATAACTTTTACTAACCTGATAGTACTCCCATGGATGCTTCATTTCTGTGAGACGTTTGAAACATTTGTAGACATTCTCAAGAATACCGAACGATCCCCATACTGATTTGGTTCCCACCGGAAACAAAACATGTTACTTGAGAGGAATGAGTTGGATGTTAAGAACCTTGTCTGCATATATTCATGGGGTTTGCGATGAATAACGATTGAGGAATCTTTCCAAGCAGAGTTTATTACGATTAAAGCGTTTCAGGTGATTCGGTCGCCAGAAAAGAGGTATTAAAGAGTAGAGAGATTATTTCACTGCTTTCACTTAGAGAACTTCCTTTCTTTTGGCATCACTCTTCTGAAGAGGGATTTTCAGCCAAATCAGGAGTACTTCATTTTTCACACAGGGGCAGCTTCGTTTTAGAACCAAGAAAGGAGATTCATTCCCAATTTTCACTCTATTCTTGCTCTTACCGGTGAAAAATCAACGAACTCACGTAAGTTACGACGTTATTAAAGCATGACGGCAATTTTGTTACAAAATCTTTGAACTTTCGTCCGGCTCCTCGATCGACCATAATGCAGTAAGCATTTTGAGGATGATAGAATATGCTCAATTCCAGCATCACCTCAAAGGTCAATAAACCTCTTCCTTTCTGATCATATTTTTCTGATAGACAGGCAGAAAAATTACATGTATACTTTCTCAAATAAATGGCCAGAAAAATTATATGTTTTGGGGAAAATGCTCCAGAGTGTAAACGTAAGTATCGTGAACTTGAAAAAGCGAGACTCACCAAAAAACTTAAATCTAGGTAAGAGATCTGCATAAGGCTGTGAATTTACGCAATTGAAACAAGCAAAAAAGTCGAAATGGATAAACCCAGTAGCTTGTAGACGTATTAGAGGGTGTAATTACTATAACTTGTAAGTGAACCCAAGTGGTCACTGCAATAACAAAAAAGTAGCCTCTTTCAGAACAGCTCGGAAATGATTGAAAATGGGTTGAAGGCACGGTTCACGACAGCAATGACTTTTAAGATTTAAACCTAGAGTGTATCTGTGCCACCAGGCAATGGTACACGGGCCGTTGTTGGGCCTAAAAACGACCCAGACAGAGCGTACAATACCGTTACTAATTCATGGTCAACTGACGGTTTGCAACGGATTAATCAGTTCGCCACAACTTCAGCTGAAGTGCTCCAAGATAAAAGTAAGATCATCGGAAAGCTCTTCTGAAAAAAGAAAAATCCAAATGTATAATAATCTTTCGACTTTCTCAAGTTTTTCACATTCCTTTCCGAGGAAAACGAAAACTGAGCCTCTCAAAACCTGTGGTGTTACTTGCGGAAATGACAGCATCGTAAACCCTCCACTTCAATTAAAAACTTCGTTTTCAGTTCTTAAAAGGCCTGAATCGTGCTATAGTTGAGGAGAGCATAGAGCTCTGATTATTTTGATTTCCTTCATGGCATCATTCAAACATTTCAGCTGAAGCAAATTACTAGATTTTCAGACGTGTGTTATTTCTTTGAGCCACGAATTTCGTATGATGACCGTATGATTGCCTGTGGGGAATCCTGTCATGTCATGAATTTTTACCTTCTTTAACTCTGCACCATCATTCTCATGGAGGTACAAAAGTGAGTGTTCAGCACCTGAGGCGCTTCTTGCAGATATAGCATAACCTTAAACTCTATTACTATCTATTATCTACTCTATTTCAATAGAAATCTTCATTCTGAGTTTTTTTAGACATTTGGAAAATGGACACATGGAATCATGGTTATTTTGATATCCTTGATGATAGAATTCAAAAAGATCCAGCAGAAAACAGTGATTTCAATGATCAACTTTCCAAGAATTTGCTGGTTCATTTCAAAAGTGCACTTTTTTGGGAACGAATTATTCTGCTTTTACTCAAAGACTTCATTATGTGATCTGATGTTCTGATAATAAAAAGATGAATGGCCTCCTAATTGAACCTTGAGCTAATTGACCCCTCACCATTGAACTCTTTTGATCCATCGCCTTTGCTATTGCCGAGCCCATTCAAGAGTAGGCATGTTGTCACATATTGTATGCAACTGGCAGAATGTAACGACCACGCTGCGATAATTACTGTTTGTCTGTGTATATTAGTCTGATTGTACTACCTTGAATCGCGTGCAAATTTTCGCTTGTTCAAAAGCGCTATCTTGATTTGTCTCTCAGCTTCCCATTTGATCGAAACTGGGGGCAATGACACTATACACCAACTGGGAGGCAATGACGCCATACACCGGCCGAATGGCACAGAGTAGCACATATTGCTTGCCAGCAATGTTATTTCGGCGTTTGCAAGCGCTGTGCACGACCGAGTGGGGTCCGAATCGATAAGGGGTCAAGGTTGGCTGCAAACACGAGCGACATGCACTCTCTCTGCGCCATTGGCCGGTTCAGCTCGCGACATTACAGTTTACCTTTCAACCCATGGGCGACCATGTACTCCATATGTGGACTGCACTTTTTCGGCTATGGGGGTCCGTGCAGTCCACATGTGGACTGCAGTGGTATTTTTAGTTTTATTCATCAATATTTCCACTTTTTTACAATTTTTCTTCTCAAAACATTATGTCAGGCCTATATGAAACTATGTACTGCATAGTTCTGAAAAATCTTCTGATTTTGCAATTGTAAAAGTGTTTTTTCGAAGGAGTACATTACCGTGGTGAACTCTTATTCGTTGAACAACTCAAAAAATGAGATTTTCAATAGACGGACGTCATCAGCATTTTCGCTGTTATCGACCGGATGTAAACTCGTAAAAGATCCCCGAAACGATTTCTGGTAATGATTGAACTCATAAGTGAATGACCATTAACCTGAATGACTATAATGATCTATAATGAAGATCAATAATCGCTCAATATGGGCATTCTTACCAAACCCATCTGAAGGAGTATTCCAAAAAACTTATGAATTTCTCTTGTAAACTTCAAAAAATGGTCACGCTGTCATGTAGTCCACATGTGAGCTGCAGTCGCCAGTGGAAGAA